AATATAGGAAGACCTAACTCTCAACCTAGGCAGGATGAACTTGAGTCCTCCTCTTGGCCCACTCTGTAAGCAGCATTTAGATATAAGCTGAATTTCAAAGTCCATTTTGGGTCCTATAGCCACACTACTTTTTCCCATTCTCTCCTATACTCATTCAGATAGAAGGTACTGAGTGTGTGCTAACGCTTGGCCCTGACAATACAAAGATAAATAAGGTTGTCTTTACTTGGTCTCCTCTAAAGTAGATTCATGTGGTCCTCAAAGTATGTAATTTAAATATGAAGTATCACTCAAAGACTCATATATTTAAGACAGTAACAGCATCAATGAATCAATCCATTGATTAATTTATAGCTCAATAGGCTGTTAGGAGATGGAGCCTTTTGAAGAATGTAGGTCACTGGGGCCATGCCTTTGAAGGGTACATTCTCTGACTCTTTCCCTCTCTCAGCTTCCTGTTACCATGAGACAGGAAGCTTCCTGTATGATGCCCTTCCAGCTCTGGAAGCTGACCATTATTTGAAACTCTAGAAATCATGAGGCAAAATAAGCATCTCCTCCTTTAACTTGTTTTCTCAGGCATTTGGTCACTGTGATGAAGGTTAATACACCCAATCAGCCAGCAACTGTCAAAGGCAGTGGCCCTAATGAGATCTGTCATGTTTAGTGTCAGCTTTCTACCAAGTAATGTGCCAGCTCAGGGAGTCCAAAGGAAAGCACAACCATTACATCTACCAAAGTCCAGGGCCCAGCAGAGGTGACAGATGGGTTAGCTGACAGCCAAAACCCCTCAGAGCAAGAGATGTGGGAGAGAAAATGCAGGACAGGATGCATGCTGAAAAGAGGGTTCGTAACTCTGACCACACCTAGAAAGTCTCCCTGCAAGAAATGTTTCTTCTTTCATTTTTTAACCAAATAACAGAACCCATATTGAGGGTCAGACACTGTTTCATGTGTTGTAACAATGAGAATGATAAGACTCCTGTCTTCATGGAGCTGAATTCCCAGGGAAAGGGGGAGACCACAAGCAAATAAATAATTCAGATAATTTGGTAGATCACTGGCCCCAGCTACCAGAGACCAGTTTTGTCTAAGACAATTGTTCCACAGACAGGGAAGGAGGGCCATGGTTTAAGATAATTCGAGCACATTGCATTTATCATACACTCTGTCTTAATTACTTTTTCTCAAGGTTGAGACAAAATACATGACCCTCAAAGTTTAAAGAGGAAAGTTTTATTTAGCTCACACTTTGTAAAGGTTTCAGTCCAAAAACACCTGGCTCCAAAGCAGGCTGGCATGGCAGAAATACATCGCAAAGGAGAAATAGTTCATGGCAGGAAGAAGGTAGCAAAGTAAGCAAGCAAAACTCCAAGCCACAAATGACCATAACCACTTTTTTCTGCTTTCTTTCTGCAACTATGTCATGGCCTCAACACAAGGCTATCTTGAAATTTCTTCTGTAAGATTAATTAGACTGCCACCCTAAATCTCTATGGCAACCAAAGCCTTTTGACACAAGCAAAATGCATACAAACTTTCTGCCAAGGCATAACACACCTCTCCTGGAGTCAAACAACCAATGTAGTCTTTCTTCCCAGCAGAAAGATCTAGGCTACTTGACTAAGAGCAGGTGCCAACCCAATCAGTGGACTAATTTCATAATCACACACCCTTAATCTTAGCATCACACCATTGATCAATTTCAGCATCTTGTCTTTGACCCCAGCATCACAAATTCAAGATCCGGCCACATCTGAAAAGCCTCACCTATAACTGCATGAAGCTTTGGGAGGGATATCTAGACACCACCATAAAATCTTATCTCAGCTCCCCAGAAAAACTTGTACACATTCCTTGATGCAAAAAACATTTAGCACATCTCAAGAGTTGCCAGAGTCCTAATAGTCCAATCATTGTAAAAAACCCCAAGTCCAAAATTGCCTTTGAGTTTTAAGGCAAACTCTTAGCTGCAAAACACTGTTACAAGTGAAAGGAAAGTTAAACACCTCCAAACAGCAATGGCACAACATAAACATTACTATTCTAAAAAGTTACAAAAACAGGGATAGAAAGAATTGGACCAAAGCAAATCCAAAACCCAGCAGGTCAAAAATTAAGGCCTGTAGTTCCATGCCTAGCACCCGAGGCAATCGAAGGCAAGATGTGAACTCCAAAGAGCTCATGTGGTTCTGCCCCTGAAGCACTGCTGGAGGTTGTGTCTCCCACAGCTTCTCTCCTGGGCCCAATCTGTTCCCTCCCTGCAGTTTTCCTGATGATCCTGGTTTCTCCAAACTTCTGGGATCTCTTCTGAACCTTTGATTTTACACTTTTTAAACTTAAAGTTCCACACACTGTCCTCAGGGACTGTCTGTTCTCTCAGCCCTCTTCTGAAGTCTAAGGGGAAGCCTTGCTGAACTCACAACTCTTGTACTCATGCACCTAAAAGCAGTACCACATGGATGAAGCCAAGGTCTGCAATCAGCTGGAGCAGGAGCCAGGCTTCTTTCTGCCTTGGCTATAGGGTTCGAGTGCTTATGAATAAAAATCCCAAGAAACAATTTCCCTAGACTTTCAGGAAAAGCATGGCACTCTTGGACTCTCTTTGCAAAGCAGTCTTGAGGCTGCAAATGGTGGAGTTCTGCTGTTGCTTGTGATGTCCTCAGGCCATCTTTTTTATTGTCTTCCTGTTGCTTCTCACCAATCAAGATCTCCTCTGGGGCCAGGGAGATGGCTCAGTGGAATAAGTGGTTCCCTGGCTAGCACAAGGGCCTGAGTTCAATCCCCAGTTCTACCAAAAAAAAAAAACTCCTCTGGTTTGTCATTGAAGTCCATATCTTTACAAGAGTTTCCTTTCTGATAAATTCATAATTTTCAAAACAGATCTGGATAAAAGGCTTCAACAGCAGCTATGTCATAGCCTTAACATTAGACCATCTTGAAATTTCTTCTATAAGACTAAATAGCCTGCCACCTTTAATCTCCATCTGAGACAAAGCCTCTGGACACAAGCAAAATGCATGCAAACTTTCTGCCAAGGCATAACACACCTCACCTGGAGTCAAACAGCCAATGTAGTCCTTCTTACCAACAGAAATTTTTTAAGCCTGGTCCTTAGTGGCAGCATTTCTATCAGCATCCTGGTCCTCTGTGCTCCAATAAGAATCTCTCATCAAAGACAGCCTAAATCTTTCTAGAGGTACTTTTTCATCTCACACCTCCAAACCTTTCCAAACTCTTCCTACAAACTAGTTCCGAAGTTTCATAAACCATGTGGTCAGGTACAGTCACAACAATGACCCCACTTCTGGCACCAAATTCTGTCTTAGTTATCTTTTCTCTTTGTTGAGATAGAATATGTAACACACAAAATTAAAAGAGGAAAGGTTTATTTAGCCCATAGTTTATACAGGTATCAGTTCAAAGTCATCTGGCTCTGAAGTACGCTGGCATGGCAGAAAGACATCACAGTGGAGAAACAATTAATGGCAGAAGGAAGGTAGCAAAGTAAGTGAGCAAAGCACCTGGTCACAAATGACCACAGCAGCTTCCTTCTATAGTCTATCTAGGCTACTCAACTTAGAGCAGGTACCAACTCAACCAGTGGACTAACTTAGTAATCACACACTCTTAATCCTAGTATTACACTATGAATCAATCCCAGCATCACATCCTTGACCCCAGCAACACAAATCTTAGATCCAGCCACCTATGACTGCATGAGGCTTTGGAGAGACATCTAGGTACAAGCCATAACATGAATTATACTTCTATTATTATAACATTGTGGTTTATAATGAAATAAGTATTACCTCATCATAATACAGGGTCACTGGGAGTCCTCAGCTTGTTTCCTGCAACTAGATGTCACCATTAGAGAATGATAAGAGGGAGTGACAGCTAACATGTGTTGCTTATATATAGTCTACTCTATAATCTTGTTTTGGTTACTGCCACTTCAGAAAACCTTGATTCACAAAGATAGGACATTGGAAGTGGAGACAGACCTTTCAGTGCTTTTGTGGCAATCTGAATATTCTGGCTTGATTTTAATCTAAAGCATATAAATATTTGAAATTGTCTCACATAAATTTAAGGCCACCATCATTCACAACTGCAAGCAGCTGATTCTCTCCTGACATGGACGAGGTCAGTTCACCTGGCTTATTCACAAATGGATGGTAGATCCATCTCATCCCAGTCTGTGGGTCTTTTGTACGTAAGAAGTAATGCTCAAATTCTTTTGAAAGGTGATTAGTTAATCCTGCACCAGCTGGGAGAAAGAAGACCATGGCCCAATCTCTTTCAAAATCTCTGTTAATGTTTGGAACATGTCAAAAATACCACAGTTCAGTAGAAAAATACCCATAATTCTAGTTTAGATTTGCATCTATCCCATTCACCTGCTGACTCAAACACAGTTATCATTCTCCTCTAAAGTGACAGAGTGAGTTCATTGAGATGATTGAATGTGTCACAACAGTAAGTTTTGGGACCCATTCTGGGTCACTGAAATGTGCTCCCAGGGGTGACTTTTTATAAAAGAAACTTCTGAGGTGTCTCTCATAACTCAGAAACTCTAACTAGCAATCTATCTTTAGAAAACCAGAAGTAGTATTTCATACTTTTCATCCCAGAACTCAGGAGACTAAAGCAGAAGAATCACCCATGAGTGTAAGGTTAACTTGAACTATAAAGTCAGGCTCAAAGTCTGTCTTGAGCAGGACCTTGTCTCAGGAAACAGAGAGAGGGAGAGAGAGAGGGAGAGAGGGAGAGACAGAGGGAGGGAGGGAGAGAGAGAGAGAGAGAGAGAGAGAGAGAGAGAGAGAGAGAGAGAGAACAAAGAAATTTCTGAAATGGCTCACATGACTTATAATTTCTGGCCAGTGACCTACCTTTATCTCTTAAGTTTTGCTTTGTTTTGCAGAACCAGGAATTGAACTCAGGCCCTTGCAGGCACTTATTCTACTGAGCCATCTCCCTGGCCCCAAGTGACCTACCTTCAGACAGTGTTTGTGCTCTCCTTCCATCTCCTCCCAGAGCTGTGCAACAAACATGAGTTAAGGGCACATACTGTAATGTGATTGATATGTTAATCACATCCTCCAAAACAGTGCTAAGTTCAGAGACTCTTTTTGGCCCACCAGTCTTTCTCTGTGGATGAGAGAATGCATGGACTCACGCACAGAAGCAACCTCTTTGACATGAATAGTAAAACCAGAAAGCTGCCCGGTCATGGCAGCTGCTCTGTCTGTGCACACACCAACACAAAATGACCAATTCATTTTTTCTGACATGTAATCATTCCGCAGCTGTGATTTTGGTTGGCAACAGAAGTGCTCATAACATCCTCAAGCACATCCTCCTGAAAAACACACCTCACAAAAACAAGCATTGTTTACTTCAATATCAACATGAGCAGACTCATCGACCTGGATTGGTATCTCATTAATTCTCTCTACCAGTTGTACCTCAATATCTTGTGCTATTTCATCAAATTATGGTGCCAGTTGAAAAAGAAACCCATGCCACCTTTTAAGCTGTGCCTTTTCCTAGGAATGCCTGACTCATGTCCCTCAGAGCAGCCAAACTGATATTAAAGGGCTTCTTAGCTTCAGTGATGTGATTAACCAGTAAGAATGATGCTCTTAGAGCAGATGTATTTGTCGAGGTAGGCTTCAGTAATTACTTGTTTTTTATGCTCACATTTTTTTTTTCTTAAGAACTAGTCCAAAGGTGTGTATTTTAATGTAGGAGGCCTGGCGTCCATGCGGTGAAGCACTTCTGAAGTTTTCATGTCTTCATTGGATAGCCGCTCACCACATATTATGCAAAGCAGGGTTGCAGAATGTGAGTCACCTGTTGTAATGAACCTGTAATTTAAGTAAGACTCTTGGTACAGTAATTTCTTGATTCAAGAAAGCTTCAGTTGGCAAACAAAACTGTTTGCCAACAGAAGCATTTGATAAAATTTTGGGGGTTTTTTGGAAATGCCACATCAGGTGACAAACACAACCATGGCCATATGCCCAGTAGGAACACAAACACAATAACCATCTCCCCCAGAATCATGGAACAGATTAAATGTGTATATCAAGGTACCGCTGCATTTTCTTTTAAGTGCATCTCTATTTTTACTGGCAGTAGTCTCAGAGTCTTCTGCCACCTCATCATTGGGTCTTTCCCCTTTTTCAAAGAAGCTCTCAGGGATGTTCACTTTTATTCATCTGGCTAGAGTAGTTTTGGGGTTACCAACACTTTTATTCACTAAGTGCACAGTGCTAGAAAAAGGCACAGATGGAAGTGGTAAATAAAATAATGCTTGGGCCACATGTGGACTAAAGTAAGTATTGGATTCTAACTTAAAACCTGCCACCAGACCAAAATTAGAGAAAAAGGAGGGCTACAAGGAAAGCCAA